CAGACCTCAAATCCTGAAGATTTGAGGTTTGCAACTGCCCAGCACTTGGAGGTTTCCCCTCCCCTTTCAGCGCTGTGCAGTCACAGACCTCAAATCCTGAAGATTTGAGGTTTGCAACTGCCCAGCACTTGGAGGTTTCCCCTCCCCTTTCAGCGCTGTGCAGTCACAGACCTCAAATCCTGAAGATTTGAGGTTTGCAACTGCCCAGCACTGAAGGGAGAAGGGAAACCTCCTAATGCTAGGTAATCACGGAGCTCAAATCCTTGAGATTTGAGGTCAACTTCCTATCTGGAATGCTGCGGTGAGTGCACATCTCCCATCTCCCTCCTGATTAAAAGGCTTTCAAACTTCTGTATTATCGGACTGTGTGGGTAAGGACTTTCATTACATTATTTAATTTTTAACAAGCTATTGGAATGGCAACTAGACCTAAGCATTCAGCATCTACACCAATTTCAACTACGCCACTATCTGCCAAGCCAGGCAAGATGGCAAGGGAGGATTCTTTTGTTACTTTATTAAAAGAGATCCTGGCTCAGGTACAACTTTTGAAGCCAATCCAACAAGATTTGGCAGAGCTTAAATGTGATTTAAAAGTGACGCAAGAAGAAATGGCTCACTATGAGGATTGTTTAAATAATCATGAGACTATAACTCAAGCCAGTCATAATATTTTGGATAAATGAATTACTTATCTGGAGTCACAATAGCATAGGAAAAACCTACATGTGATTGGTACTGAAAACCTTCCAAATCAATCAAACCTGGCTGAATTTATGGAAGATTTTTTTCAAAAAGCTCCTGTCTTTGGGAACACTTTCCAATCAAAATTGATCATGTGATTAAAATTCCTATAATGAGAAGGAAGACTGGAACTAGTTCCCATATTATTATTGTGCAATTCCTGTGTGTTACCACAAGAGATGAGATTTTACATATATTTCACCAGAAATCTGTAAAGTCTCCTTTGAAGTGGGGCTCTAGTCAAAGCAAGACATCAATTTATACTGATTTCACTAAAGAGGTTACAGAACAAAGAAAGAAGTTTACAAAATCTCAAAGCCTTGCCAGATCAATACAACTCCAATATTTTATGCATTTTCCAACTATATTCTGCGTTAATCATCAAAATCAGATCCACAAATTTGATAATCCCCTGGGTGCAGAGGCCTTTATCTTATCCTTAAAACTTGCAGATGGACAAGCTTGATGGTGTTTCATTTTATGGAGTCTGCTGCAAATGAAATTGGAGTTCGCCTACAGTAAAAGCCTCAAATTAAAAGTCCACATGCCAATTTTTTTTTTCTGCACTTCAATTTGTGTTTGTTTTTCTTATTCCTATAGAGAGAATCTGGGCATACTGCCAACTCTATTGCTTATTTTTCAACACACAGTATTCTTTTCCTTTTTCCTCAGTTAGTAATGTTTGAAAAGGTTCTGTAATTTTCAGTGTAAGGAGAGAGATGAAATTACCATGCCTTTCCCTCTGAGAAGTCATTAGCTTCTGTGATCTTTTCCCCCTTCCTTATATATATCTTCTTTTTCTTTTTTCTTCAAGATTCTTAATTTTTTATGTCACTTGTTTTTTTTTATTTTTATGCACATAATCACATTTTTTACTTTTTTCCTTAAATATAGATTTTATATACACATAAATGAATGTTATTTGAAGATTAAACTGAGTCTTTATGGAGGTTCTATGTCTTTGAGCAATACTAGGAAATATATTCAATATTTAAATATAGAAAAGTTATATTAGATACAGTGGTACCTCGGGTCACGAACGCTTCTGTTCACAACCAATTCGGGTCACGAACAG